TATGTATGTACCTGGAACACAAGGGATTTGATTGTAGGTTTGGGGTTTTTTCTCAGTAGTTAAGAAATTGAGAGTAGAGAGAAATATGCATAGAAAGCCTATGAGCAACATGACCTTACACAGGCCAGACACTGAATACCTCTGTTTGTTCGTCTGTAAGACAGAGAACCAGGGACGAGGTGATCTAAGGTCATTCATTCATTCCCCCACTGGAGCACTTATTAAGTGAGTAACAAGTGTTTCGTGATCACCAGCAAGCCTTTTCTTCGTTTCCTAGCTAGGAAAAAGATGAAGCTAGTTCAAAAGGAATTTTAACATATTCACTAGATTCGTTGGTCACTTTCCAGTGAACTGCTTACATGATCAGTAAATTGGGTTCCTTATTGGTAAGTTGTAACTTTAGAAGCCCCAAAGGGAATTATTTACCAAGTGAGACTTATTCCTAAAAATGCATTAGGATTATTATTACTAATTACTATAAATAATTGAACTCCATAATATGTTATTTTTTAATATTCTTTCTTTCTTTCTTTCTTTAATTTTATTTTGGCTGTGCCAGGTCTTAGTTGCGACGTGTGCAATATCTTCATTGCTAGCACATGGGATCTTTAGTTGCGGCATGCGGGCTTCTTAGTTGTGGCATGTGAACTCTTAGTTGCAGCATGCATGTGGGATCTAGTTCCCCGACCAGGGATCAAACCCAGGCTCCCTGCATTGGGAGCGTGGAGTCTTACCCACTAGATCACAGGGAAGTCCCCATAATAATGTTATTTAGCTAGGTTACACATACTAAAATTATTACACAATCTCTGTAGTGATTTAGTATGATTGCTATATCTCTTCACATTGAGTTAATTAGTAATGTATGTGTGTCTGTTCCCAGACAGACACAGACACTACCTGTGGCTCAGAATCTCACATTATTTACCTGGCTAAATGAAACGTGCAGGTAGGATTGCTCAGTGAGGCATCGTGAAGTTCCAAAAGCCACAATCACACTACTTTTCTTGTTTTTCAAAACATTTTACTGTTCTCATGTAAGCCTTCTCTAATCATTGGGACTACAGCTTTACAGTTCTTCAGAAATTTTAGGAACCACTATCTAGGCTTGCAAGGGGATTTTAGAAGGATTTTTTAATTTTAGAAGGATTTTTATACTTTAGATGTTTTTCTATATTTAGAAGTGTAATTTATATCTCACCTTAGAAGAATATGGATTCTTATTTAGTTGGGGTTTTTTGAAGGAATAAGAAAGTGATACTGAAATAAAGTTACTGAATAATTTGAGAAGCAGTTTCTTAGCATCTTCCACAATGAACATTCTTGGTTTGTATAGTTTGGAAGCCTTGTGAGTCTCAGTTCTAGTTTATTTTACTAAATATCCCTTTCTAGAATTATTCAAAATGGTATAAATTTAATCTAGTAAAGCTACCAAATTTTAACTACTTAAGTAGCATAAGTTCAGTGTAGGGGCACAGAAAACATTTTATTCTTTTGTTTTATAGCGTTCATTATATAGATAGCTTTCTTATAAACAGTCACTCAATGAGATAATAAATATAACAATAGATAATTTTAAAAGCTTTTATTTAAGAAACGCTTGTGTTTGCTTCTACCACTGCAGTACCCTTTCTCCAGCCCCAAGGCTCCTTGCATGACACAAAAGCACATGTTGTTGTTGAAGATTTCTGCTGATATCTGAAAGTTCTTGCCCTCTACATGAGAGTTTGTGTACAAAATATGCGGTTTCCCACATTGTAAACTCTAGTTAAATTCTATTAAGTGATATGATTCTTTTTTTTAACATCTTTATTGGAGTATAATTGCTTTACAATGATGTCTTAGTTTCTGCTGTATAACAAAGTGAATCAGCTGTATGTATACAGATATCCCCATATCCCCTCCCTCTTGCACCTCCCTCCCACCCTCCCTATCCCACCCCTCTAGGTGGTCACAAAGCACTGAGCTGATCTCCCTGTGCTATGCAACTGCTTCCCACTAGCTGTTATATCACTTATTTTATACACTACCAAATGTAAAATAAGTGATATAATTCTTTTGATATAATGCACTTAGCTAAAATTGCTAACCTTTACTCTTTCCATTCTGGAATTGATTTTTGCTGAGTAGATTAAATCAATATAGAACCAGCTTGTTAGATTCTAACACTTCTTTGGATTTCTAGTATATGTATATGAGGAACTTTAGCTCTTTTGTATTTCTTGATTATGCAGCTTAATTTATCAAGCTACTTTGATATTTTGTATGTCTGTGCCTCACATTTCTGCTAAATATATTTAAAATATACTTTAACAAAAGAATTGACATATAATTTTTAAGGTTTTTGCAACAGTGGGGTCTCCCCGATCCCAAAAATATTACAATAAATTGTCATCTCCTGCATAACCTTTTTAATTTATACATCCAAAAGCATATGTTTGTATGATTACATGCAAGTCTATTCTTTTTGTGGTTATGCAACTTCAACATTAATACTTCACAAATTCCAAAATTAAAACTTTTCTCTCCCACATAATATATAGACTTTAGAATGCTTTGACTCTAATTACTACTCCCTAATTTATATGCTATATTATCCGGTGCTTTAGTTCTATCCCTTTCCACCATATATTAGACACTATTATCATTTTATATTTTACAACCAGTGCTTTTTAAGATTTACCCTGTATGTGCTAATATCTTTGTTTACCATTCTTTCTTGTATCTCAGATCATCCATCTGGGATCATGTAACTTCTGCCTGCTACATATATCTTAAAATTTCCTTCAGTGAAGTCTGCTAGAATTGAATTCTCAGTTTTGGTAGTCTAAAAATGTCTATAATATGCTCTCATTTTGGAAAGATATTTTTGCTGAATTCTACACTGACAGATAATTTCTCTTTGCAAATTGAAGACACTGTTCTGGCATCCATTGTTGCTGTTGAAAGTAAGCAATCAGTCTAATGAGTGTTTCTTTGTAGGTAATCTGTCCTTTTTTCTAGCTCCTTTTGAAGGCTTTTCCCCCTACCCTTTGGTGTTCTCTATGAGGTATCTGTGCGTGGGGTTTCTTTTTATTTATCTTGCTTGGGATTCATTGAGCTTCTTGAATCTGAGAATTAGTATCTTTTAGTAATTCTGAGAAATTCCCAACCAATATCTCTTCAAGTATTGGCTCTTCCACATTATCTCTTTTATTTCTATCTAGAATTCTGATTACGTCTTCTAAAATTCTCAAATTTTCTTCTATGTTTTCAATTCCTCTATTTTTCTAGGCTGCATCTGGCTTATTTCTCTGGATCTGTAGTTAACATGTCTGATCTCTAGTTTCATTTATCCCCTGTATTTTTCATTTAAATTGTTATATTTTAATTTCTAGAATTCTCTTTTTTACTCTTTTTCAAATGTATGTGATCATTTTTTATAATCACTTGTTCTTTATTCATATGTTCAATTTTCTCATTTATGTTTTTTAACATATTAAATGTAGCTATTTCATATTCTTTCTCTGAACATTTCAGTATCTTTGAGGATCTTATTTTTCTATCCGTTGTCTTTTGGTTCTCATTCACGTTGCTTTACTTCCTTTTGTAATTTGTGATTTTATTTTTTACAATGAAATAAATGCTTATTTTCCCATGGGAATTATTTGAGACCTGGATTGATGATGTATTCCTCCACAGAGAATTTGCATTTACTTCTGAGAGTTATCTGGAGCCATTACCCCACCAGAACCATCTTATATTAAATACTCTGATGTTTCTCAAACCACACTGAGAGTGTGAATGTGGACCAGAACCTGTATGAGGACCCACTTTTGTTTATAAGTAACCAGAGGAGAATTTTTTTTTCCCATCTGCTGAGAATCAAGGTTGAGGCAGGCAAGTTTCCTTGCTCTGTTCTTCTGATCATCAGCCTTATTTATTTTTCTTCCTTACACTTGCGAGTGGAGCCCTTTGAAGTATCCCAGCTTTATGTGGGGTCTCTCCTTAGGCACCTAGGCACCCCCATACTGCATTAAGCTACCAAAGCAGATGCTCATGGTCTTCCAGGATTCAGGAGAAAGCCTCAAGGCCAAAGCTTGCTTTGGTATTTCCTTACCTCCTGAGATTCCAGCTTCTACTTTGTTTAGGTATCTGAATATTCTCTCTTTTCATGCCAGCTCAGCAATACATTTCAAAAGGCTTTCAGGTGCATTTGCCCAATATTCCAGTTGTTTCCAGCTAGAAATGAAATATTTATATGATTAAAGACCTAAATGAGTATGTGTGTATATATATATATATATATATATAGTTATATAGATGTTTATCATTATATGTATTTATAGCATTTTATTTATATATACTTATCATAACTTTATTTCCAGTTGGATCTGGTAATACCTTGTTATCTGCTATGCACTTCAATTTTTTTCAACTATTCTACAAAAATAATTGGAATGACTTCTGTCACTTTTCTTTGAAAGATAAAACATTTGGTATGCAGTTATTTTTAGATTTAAATAAATATAATCAGCTGTTACCATATTTTAAAATTCTTGTTACATTATGTAGAACTGTAGAATTTTTCAAAACCTCTCAAAATCATAGGGTCACGGAAACAGTCATATCTAGGTCCAGTGGGTATAGAGGGATAATTTATATTGAAAATGTTAGCAACATTTGAACTGTTGCACAAATTTTAAGGTTGGTAAAATATAAATACGATTTCCTTTGAGCAAAGAACCCATCCCAGGGAAAGTTGTGTTTACACTGCATTTTAGAAAGTTAAATAATTTAAAAATTTGTAGTCATTCAGAATTTCAAGAAAACCTTTTAAAATGGAATCCCTTTGTCTAGAAGGCTCTTTTGGTAAAGCAATTGATTTGCCCCTTTTAAAAACTCTAGTTTTTATAAGACGTTTTCTTCAAGTAACTATACATATCATTGCAATCAGTGAAGATAAGCAGCCACAGTCAGCCCTGCCCTGTCTCCCTAATCAATGGTCATCCTTCTTCTAGTACGTACGAGTATCTTTCGATACAAAACCTGATCTCCTCCTACACCTGATGACCAAGGAATGGCAGTTGGAGCTTCCCAAGCTTCTCATCTCAGTTCATGGGGGCCTACAGAACTTTGAACTCCAGCCAAAACTCAAGCAAGTCTTTGGGAAAGGTCTCATCAAAGCAGCCATGACAACTGGAGCATGGATATTCACTGGAGGTGTTAACACAGGTAATTGGAAGTGGGACAGAGGACAACATAAGGCCACGAGAATGTTGTGACTAAGGTCATTTTCTCCTGAGGTTAAATATATTTACATTCCCCCACCTCAGCCCCTACACCTGTGTGTCCACACCTGCTGGTTATTGCTCCTTTCACTGAGTCTCTCTCCTTCCTCTACCTAAATGATAACTGTACTGTCATTTCTCAACCAAGAAGAATTATTTACACTTAAGAAACAGATTGGGATATTTAATACTCGACTCTACAGAATTTATAAACACGACTAGTGGAATTTCACAGGATATTTTCAATACCTCAATTTGCCAAATAGGCATCCAGTAATTTTTTTTTTGGACAGTGGATTTTCTAGAGGTTAAACTGTTTGTGATGGAGAACTCCAGACACTTGTTCTAGATGAGATACGGGGCATGTTTTCGAATTCTTGGGAGCTTAATTAAAGACCAGCAGTGAAAGTGATGTTTTCAAACAAATAAAGGAGTGAAAATGATTCTGGGTCAACCTGACTTAATCACCACAATCTGAGAATAAAAGAACATAATTAAATCATCTGACTATATTCTATATATCTGTTTCCCCCACCACAGGATTCTAAGGACATTGGTGCTTCAGCCTTCTGAGTTTTGACCTTCGTTTCTTGTGAAACATGGTGCACCAGCTCTTTGGAAATACGGTACATTTGAATTAATCATGATAAGAGGATCAAGTTTACAGTGTCACTCATGAATTTTAATTTCTTCATCTTACTGCTCCCCATTTCTTTGGAGCTTATGTTAAAGTAAGTTAAAGGTAGTTATATTTTGCCAGGGATTTTTTTCTGCCAAATAATGGAGGATATAAATCCAAAAAATAAGTTAAATGTCCTAAATTATTTTCCAGTCATGACTGGAGGAAGGTATGTTGAATCCTGGAACAATCATGAACGTTTGAGGCATGGAAATCTCTTTGAATCCCAGTTCTGTCAATGGCTGTGTGAATCTGAGTCTCACATTTTTAATCTGTAAAAGAGAAATGATAAAACCACTTAACTCATGGGGGTTAGATGAGATTATATGTGCAAAGTACCTGGCACCATGCCTGGCTCCTAGTAGGCAATCTACAAATGTGAATTTCTTCTCAAGTCCTGCTTTATCTTAACAACTATAAACTGATTTCCAGTTGCAAACTAGTGACCAAAATGAAACGATGGGAGACAAATCAGTCACTTTTGTTTTACACAGGGATTTAAATCAATCAATATGAGTAAAGAAAACAAATTTATCAGTTGCCAAAATATGCAAAGTGGTTTTTTTTGCATGTCCTCCTAGGTCATTTAAGACGGTGATATTCTGGAAATATTTGTTGATTAACTGCAAAGTTGGAAATAACTTCCCAAATACTTCAGAGGAATGCATTTTGGTCTAACTTGTCTACAAAATACACTTAATATTCTTCATAACAAACATACCAGCAGTCTATTTTTGTTCAAGTTACAATTTGCATATCTACAAAAGATTTGCTGATCTTCCTGTTAAGTTTTTCAAATAGAAAAAAATAATGCCTTTGTATCACATGAATACAAATGAATTTTTCCTTCTGACAAAATTTTAGAGGTAATGTAAAACTTTTATTGTTAAGAGCATAACATAAAAAGGACTTTTTTGGAAATGTGTATATGTGTGTGTGTGTGTGTGTGTGTGTGTGTGTGTGTGTGCATGGGCATGTTTGCATAGCAAGAACAATTGTGACCTGTAGGTATACAGATTACTCTAGCACGTTTCTCAGCCAGTGTTTCCTGGGAGAATCAAGCCCTAATGCTCTGCAGTATTCATTGTATGTAATGGATCACCTTCTCTCCTAAGAATATAGGATGGTCCACGTTATGTACCATCCTTGAGAGAATTGAGAAGAGAGTCATTCAAATAATTTTCTGTGTTTTGTAGCTGAAATGAGGAATCTGGGTCGGGAAAGACTGAATTGTGTCTGAAAGGACTACATATCAAGTGATCTTTCATGATTGGTAACTACATTGGTATCTATACCTAGAAGGGAAATCTGCTTAGAAATGGATTTTAGATACTTAGTATTTCACTCATTAATCCATTGTCCACACTTTGTATTGGCTGATTGGTAAAGCTCTGGTTCTAAGGCCTCTGTGTACCTTGACTTTGCAACAAAGAGGGAATGTAATAGAAGCTGTTCAAGAAGTTAATAGGTGGAGGGCCTTTATATAAGATATTTGTAGGGCCATTATCATTGCCAGGAGAGAACCGATCTAGAGACACTGTGGAGAAACTGAACATCATTCGTGTGTTGGTGCAGCGTGCTGCGTTTATTTTACTTGGATGGCTGAAATCGATCATTTGGGAGCTGATCTAGGACACCTGCTGGAGTTTTCCTAGCTATTTTCATGCATGTTCTGGTCTCACCCAGGAGTACTTAGTAGGCAGTTAGGAGATGGGACTTCAAGTTCTAGTTCCCCTAATTACTTTTGTGAACTTGGGCAAGTCTTCAAATTTATTCATTCATTCATTCACACACCCATTCAGAATTTCTCTAGGAAATGTATGTGATAAGTATTGGACTGGCTTGAGGAGACATATAATCTTGCATCTAAGTAATATCTCAAATAAATATTCAAAATATATTAATCGAAAGAAACTTTTTGGAGGGTGGTTTTCTCATCTGTAAGGTAGAGGATTTGACTATAAATTCTGAAGGCTTTCTACCTCTAAAATTGAGTCTGTACAGTCTGTATTAAAAAATACATTTGCCTTTTCCAAGTTAGCACAGAACAATGACCTTCTGTGTGTGCTGACCACAAAAAAAGTAGTTCGCTAATATCTTGGGGTCTCTTCCATTTTGTGGTGCTTTCCATGACGCAAGGGCAGTTTGGGTATCTGTAACTTCTTTCCTGAACAGAATTGAATTGAGTTAAATCAGGTTTCTGAGTCATCAATCACAGCCTTCTGCAATCCCAGATGTTATTACCTGTTGAGGTGTGTGCCAACCTGCCCCAGGCAATACCAGGGTAGGGGATGTGCAGCCCACTGAGTCATTCTTTCCCACCTAATAGCACCATGATTATAATTTAGGCAGGAAGAAAATTAGCATTCTTTCACTACTTACTGTATGCCAGGCACTGTGATAGACACTTTTACATGGATTAATCCATTTCATGCTTATTTTAAAGACAAAACTATAGAGGCTCAGAGAAGTAAAGTGTCTTGACAAGATCTGCCCCACTAACCTCACTGTTTCCTATAAATCGCATGTAGACCTTAAATTCCTTTACAGGGCAGGAGACATTTAGAGGAAAGACAGAGGACCCGGCCTGATTTTAAATTTATAAAGGATATTATGGTTGGTTTTGCTGCTGGACATTTTTGTCAGTGACTCAGCCGGGCATTATAATCCGGCTGACAGCTGATCAGATTATTTCCAGATGAGTTCTCCAGAACTGTATAGTAGACAGAGGTCAGGAAAGGCACCAGCAGGCAGCAAAATGGGGTTTGTGCTTTGGAGAGAGAGACACAAAAGGAGTGGCAAGGTACTCTTCAGATCAGGCGTGCGTTTCTGGGAGGGATGAGGGTATACTGCAGAGAAGTGGGAAACAACCTGTGTCTGAGGTAAAGAAACAAGGGGACTGAGAGAATGAAATAAAAAAAAGAAAGGCACTGTGTATCCTCAAAATCATAGCAAGGCCTGAGCTAGAGGGAACACTGGCTTGTTGTTTCCTATTCAGGCAGCTCAGCTTCAAGTCTAGGTATGAAGCAGGGTCATATTGAAACCCAGATGCTGACTCTCAGCTCAGCAATCCAAACAAGAAACCAGCAAACCCAGGGATCCACCTCTAAAGAATGCCCAGATACTTTAGCCGCGTGACTCCCACTAAAATCCACAGGAAAACAACTGCATCTTTTTGCAGCACTTTGAAAATGTGCTCTTCACCTCACGGGCTGCAGAGCTGCCCCATCCACATTTCAGGCTTTCTGCTCGAATAGGCTCGCCTCCCTCTGCCCTGTCCTGAGGTGAACTGTGTACCATTCAGATACAGGGCCTACTGGTTGTGGGAAAAGGCCTTGAGTTCTGAAAGGGGTTACTTGCTTTAGAAATCACCATGTATCAGTGGGGTGATTTTAAAATTTGTTCAGAAATTCTTTGAAAATCTCCCCTTAGTCTGGCTGGATTCAGTGACACACTTCCAAGCAGAATAAAGCAGAAGTGATGGTGTGTGGCTTCCAAAACTAGGTCATAAGAGGGTTCCTCTTCGCTTTCTCTTGGATCACCTACTCTGGGGGGAGCCAGTTGCCATGTTAATAAGGCAGCCTCCTGGAGAGATCCACATGGTGAAAACTCCTCCCAATAGCCATGTGAGTGAGTCATCTTGGAAGAGGGTACTGTAACCCCATACAATCCTTCAGATGATGCAGCCCCAACTGACATCCTGACAGTGACCTTACGAGAGACCCCAAGCCAGAACTAACCAGCTAAGCCACTCACAAATTCCTGATCCGCAGAAACAGTGATATAATGAGTGTTTAAAGTCGTTAAGTTTTGAGGTAATCTGTTATATGGTGATAGATAACTAATATAATAGTGCATTATTATTATCTTCTTGGAGACTTCAAAACATATTCTCTTCCCTCTACTCTGGATTCACTGATGCATCATAATTTCATGACCTCCATTCTGCCCCATTCTGGTCCTCTAAGCTGCCTGGCATTCCATCCCTAGGCTCTGATCAGTTCTGGTTCCTATTCTACACTGGGGCTATGACTACCATCCTCCACATTCCTCATACGTCTGACCCCAAACACTATCTCTCCTCATTTGGCAGATGATCTGACTCCTGTGTTTACACATTTGCCAGCCGGATGACCCAAGGCAGGTTATTTACCTTCTGGTCTCAGTGTCTCCATTTGTAAATGGAGATTAATAATGATTATAACTACCTCACTGGGTCATTTTTAGGATTCAATGAGATATAAAACTCATGAAATGATCCACATATGAACTCAAAAAAATGACAGTTGCTCTTATATGGAGAAGTAATATTGCATAATAGGTAAGAATATGATCTGGGGAATTGGATGGCCTAGGTTTACATCCCAGCTACATAATTTATTAGTTATGTAACATTGGGCAAGTTACTTAATCTCATTGTGTTTAGTTTCACCATCAGTAAAATGGGAAGGATGATAGTGATACTAAAAATAGCAACTTCTGAGTGCCATTATGAGGATTAAATGACTATTTGTGTAAAGTGCTTAGATGGATGCCGATACTTATTAAACTCTACAATTGTGTTGATATTATCATTGTTGTTATTATTATTTCAGTGATAAATGATAAACCTCCAGCTAAACTTCAAAATCCTGCCATCAACTCTGCCTACATATTCTTTCCTCATCTCCTTTGGTTACAAGGGTACAGGTGGTTAATCTCCCTTTTAGCTCTGGACCCCATCACCTCAGGGCCACTAGGACTTATTTCATTAATTATCTCCTCTCCAACCCTAACTCCATTTCTACCATAAACATATAAACAAACTCAGGTCTCTCCCATCTTGAAGAAAAAAATCCCTCAAATTATGGCTCCCTTTGGCTCCTCATGTCCCTTCTCTGCATCCCAGACAAACCTCTAAAAGGTAGTTTCTACTTGCCATCTCTACTTCTTTTTTTTCCTCCTCAACCCATTGAAATATGGCTTGATCCTCCATCATGCTTCTGAAACAGCTCTGACCAGTGATACCAATGATGTCTGTCTTGATCAACTGGATGAACACTTCTAAGTCCTTCTCTTCCTTAGACTCTCAGTTGTACTTGGCATTGCCCTTCACTCAGTCCTTCTAAAACACACTCTTCCCTTGGCTTCTAAAACACTCCCTGGTTTTGCTCCTCCCTCTTAGCCCTTCCTCTGGTCTCCTTCGCAGGCTGCTTTTCCTCTGCTCAACCATTAAATATTGGCTATCACCAAGATCCGGGATATCATCAGGCCCTCCTTTTCATCACTCTACATACTCTGCTGTATGTAGTGATCCATCCACTGCAGTGGCTTTAATTATCATCTATATGCAGACACCTTCTGAATCTAAGTGGGTAACCAGATCTTTCTCACTATCTTGCTGGACATTTTCACATAGATATTTCAAAGGAACTTTGAAGTCAACATGTCCAAATCCAAACTCAACACTGTGTTTACTGAAACTGTATTACCCATGCAACTGAACGTAGCCCTGAACCTGAGTGTGGTCCAGGTTTAGCTAGCATTGGCTCTTTCATGCCTGTAAAGACTTGAGTGGGTCTCCTTGTCTCAACTTCTCCTCTCACATCCTCTGAATATATCTTATCTAACCTAGTCATAGAAGTCTAATAAACTCCATGTAATAACACTCCTGGGAGGTTTTCTGAGCTTACAGTATGAAGTCACATTTGGCTTGCATCTGAAGTAAATGAAAAATGTACTGAGTTGAAAATGACACTAGAATTATCAATTGCATTATTAAATTTGATTTTTCTTGGCTTAAAATATAAAAATGACATCAAAAGAACACTTGCCAATTAAATGTAACAACTCTTAAAGGTTATAAAATTCTGAGACTATATCTATAGCTTAGGGAAGACAGAAGATAATTTAATAACCATATAAGATAATTTAATAACCATATAAGATGATGCTTTGGAAATCTACCTTGTGTTTTCATCCCCAGGCTAAAATGAAAAGTGCTTTTTCTTGTGATCATGCCTAGATTTTTCATTTGCTGTCTGTTTTGTTAATCTAAATTTGGGAAAAGACAAATCATAAAGCCTTCAGAAACTGTTCAATTACTTGAAACAATTCTGGTCAGATTGTTTTCTAAAGCAAGAATCTAAGTCTGAAATGAGTCATATAAAAATCACAATTCATTGGAATTTCTTTCTTGACTTAACACTGGTGACACTTTCATAAGCATCATTCCAGATCGAGAGTATTTAGGGACAAAGAAAAGGGCTCAGGTCACTCTCATTGAGTCTACTTTTGAGTTTATTTTACAGGCATAAGATATCTGCCAGTATCTCAACTAACAATAGAAATATAATATCATTAAATATTTTCTTATATATCGCTTGGCATGCTATTGGGTTGGCCAAAAAGTTCATTCGGGGTTTCCCATAAAATTTTATGGGAAACCCCGAATGAACTTTTTGGCCAACCCAATAGCATGCCAAGCGATATATAAGAAAATATTTAATGATATTATATTTCTATTGTTAGTTGAGATACTGGCAGATATCTTATGCCTGTAAAATAAACTCAAAAGTAGACTCAATGAG